CTTTTATTCTTTCTTTTGGATATTCATAAGTGAAGTAAATAATAAAAAGTGTTAGATTTTTTCCCCAATATTTTTTGTGAAGTGGTAATGTGTGAAGGACAAAACTTCTTCACAAGGTCAACTAGCTTTATTTTATGATGGTAAGATAAAAAATATATAAAATAGATATTACTTCTGACATTACACAGTAAAGTAAGTCTTCATTATAACTCTGCACTTCTTAAACACATATTTGAAAAATAAGGGTTAAAATGATGAGACAATTATGCTTAACAATCTTAGTTTGAGGTGTTTAGGTTGCACTCAGCTGTAGTTGGGGCTAACTCCTAGCTTTTTGCTCAGAGGTCAATCCTGACAGCACCTGAAAGACAGTATACAGTGTCAGGGATCAAACGAGAGTCATCCATGTGCAAGATAAGTGCCTTGGCTCCTGTATTGTCTCTTTGGTCTTATAGAGTTCTTGCCTTTCCAATATGTAAATAAGTAATTTTGGAGTGATATTATATATTTAAGGTATTATAAAATATTCTATATTAATTTAAATCACTATTATTTTTGTGTGAGCAAATGGAAGAGAATTTAATAAATGTTCAAAAGGACAAATTCAGCCCTTGATATATAGTACTAAATTAATTTGAATCAATCAAATGTATTACTTGAGTCCAGAAGACAGTTCAGTGGCAAATCTATCTGACTTGTAAGTGTGTGAAGCTGAATCTGATACCTGCTTCCACCTGCATAGCCGATGAACCTTTCAAAACAGTAGTTAATGGGACCAAAGTGCTGAATCTATATGATTCTTATTCTAAATAAGCTAGCAGTGTTTGATGTCTCCAAATAATGTGGCACCTCTGGTGAGCAATATAACTAAAACTCTGTGTGAACACTACATTTTAGTGTGTGACTTTGAGTGAGCAAGTGTGTGAGCATCACTATCACTTTGAACAAAAACTTCAACCAAAATGAGTGTGAGCACAGCATCTAAAAAGGAAAGCTGCCTCTGTCAAAGTGTTCCCTGCGCACAAGTATGTAACTCCCAGTACACATACCTGAATATTTCCAATAATGATCCTCCCAATCCCCCTTGCAAACAAAAAGTATGAAGTGGAACAAGAAAAGCCTCTTCAACAAGCAGTGTGGGGAAAACTGGTTGGTACATGAAAAAAATTAATTCAGACCCCTTACTAATATTATGGATCAAAGTCAGATTAATATGAATTAAAGATGTAAATATCAGAACTGAATTCTTAAATTATATTGAGATAATATAAACAGAACGCCCTGGGACACTGAGCTGAAAATATCTTCAAAAGATTCAATGCGATTGGTCACGAAAATGGAAAGAAAGATAAACAAATCAGATTAAATTAAATTATGAAGTCTCTGCACCTCAAAGGAAACAATGACCATAAATAAAAAGACACCTCACAGACTGGAAGAAATTATTCCCTCCACTTGTCTTATTAATATCCAAATACATAAAGTACTTATATCTATTCACAGGATGTAACAAGCAACCCTCATTCACTGCAGCTGGAAATGCAGCATGGCCCAGTCATTTTGGAAAACAATATAGATGCTTCTCAAAATTTAGGAATATGACCGAGCAAATCTATTCCGTGTCATTTATTGCCAGGGCCCTAAAGCATTATTTAGAAAACACATTTGCATGCCTATGTTCATTGCAGTACCATCTATAGTACCAAAATATGGATACAACCTAATTGCACAAAAACAGGTGACTGGTTAAAGAAACTATGATCCATAAACACAACTGAATAATACTTAGCCGTAAGAAAAGATGGAATCATGTAATTTTGCTGCTGTGAAGATGGATCTGTACAGTTTCATGCTGAGTGAAATTAGTCAGGAAAGGGACTCACACCAGATTATAGCAGAGGAACAACAGTTTACCTAAAGCAACAGAAACTTAGATGGGATGCAGACCACAGAGGATGTAAGAGGGATATAGGATAAAAAGTGATAGACTGCAACAATATCTGAAGGACATGCACTCCAGGAGGGTGTTGAGCTGTAATGTGTTGAACAAGAAACCCTGTCAGCAACAGGACTATAAACCACAGTACCTTAAATTAAAAATAAATAAATAAATGAAGGTAAAAGTGCGTGTCTCAGAGACAGGTAAAGGTGGGAAGTTTGGAGGGAAACTGATACAGGAAGTTGACACTGGTGACGGAGTTGTTGTTAAAATGTTGCCAGAAACCCAATCATAAATAATTTTATAAACTGTGGTGTTTTATAAAATAAATACATATAAAAATAAGCAAAATAGAACTCTTTTCTTTGTTATTATACTTATCATGGTATTTAAAACAATTTTTACTTGTTTAAACCTGCAGGTATTAAAGAATACAAGAGCAACAGAAAACATGACTGCCTGTGATTTTACTCATTTTTTCAGTTAATTTCATAGTTGTTGATGAATACAAATTTGCAATAATAAGGAGAAATAAAAATTGATCCACTCCAGTTGTACAATGTATCACTCATCATGGGGATTCATTAGTTTGTTCTATAAAGATTCAGATAGTAAATATGTTAGATTTTGTAGGACATAATGTTTTTGTGACAATTAAATACTAGAGTTGCATTATCAAGCAATCATAAACAAGACATAAACAAGTGGACATTGTTTATTTCCAACAAAACTTTATTATAAAAGTATGAATAAGCTAATTTTGACCCTTGTCAGTTTGCTAAGACTTGTTCTAAAATATAAGCAGCTAGTTATAGGACGCCGGTTTCACAGCTCAGTTTATTATTGAGTAAGGCATAGAAATCAAAGATTAGGAAACAAGCTTTCGAAATTTCTGCAACAAAGGTATGCATTGATAAGGAAACATTTTACTAATTATGACAAAGTAGTTCTATTATCAAAAAAGCAGTGGAGTATCACTAAATACTTCATCAGAATACTTTTCAAAAAAATACTAGATATGCTTTTCTCAGTAATAGGTGAGTACACTGATATAATTCTCTTAAGCAGTAATTTACCAATTTTGTTTTTAATACTGTTTTTGCTTATAAGTATAAAGATATATGTTTATATAAAATTATAAAAATGATATTTTTTCTTTTTTCTATTCCCTTATCTTCCCTTTGTTGTAAAATCATGATAAGTAAAGTCTTTCAGGCTTGGTTGTTGCATATCTGTTTGTGGTGCTCAGTTATTCATGGCTCTGCACTCAGGAATTTCTCCTGATGATTCTTGGGGGACCATATGGGATGCTAAGGGATTGAACCTGTGTTGGCTATATGTAAGGCAAACACCCTTCCCACTGTACTCTCTTCAGCCCCTCCACTTCATAAATTTTACTCCTTTCTTAGAAATTAACTGTCCCTATACCTGTGGATCAATCTCTGGAATCTCAATTTTATTTCATTGATCTGAGAGAATGTCCTCATTTCAATACCTTTGTTTAATTACTACAGTTTTATAGTACAATTGCTTTGAGTATTTGGGGGAGTTTATTACTTTATATAAATTTCAGAAGCTTTTTGTCTATTTCATTGAAAATATTTCATTGAAAAATATTTTGTGTATTTTATAGGAACAACATTGAATCTATATAATATGTTGAACAATATTGGCATTCTGACAATATGGAGAAAGTATGTTTAAAATTCCTTATGCCCTCTTTTATTTCTTTAAATAGTGCTATATAGAGTTATTTGTATACATCTTCGTCTCTTTTAAGCTGATGCCTAGGTACTTGATTTTCTGGGGCACAATTATGAATTGTGTTTAATTTCTCTCTTTTTGGCTTCTTATATGTAGGAAAACGATAGATTTCTGTATGCCTGACATTTTACTATCCAAACCTATTGTTTCTAGAAAGTTTGAAAAAACTTTCTAGTGAATCCAACTGAGCTTTTGCTCTTATGGAGTCTAATTATTATTTCGGTTTCCTCTATAGTAACTGGTATGTTCAGGTGTTCTGTTTCTTCTTGGTCCTATGTTGGGAGGTTATAAGATTCTAAAAATTTATCTATTTCTTCTAGGTTCTTCTGTTTCATGGCTTAAAGATTTTCAAAGTAATTCCCAATGATATTCTGAATTTCTGTGATATCTTTTGTGTTATCTCCCTCTTTATTTCTAATTATGTTTCCTGGTGTTTTCTTTGTTTCTTAGTGAGTTGTTAGTAGTTTGCTACTCTTATTTTTTTTAAATAAATAATTCTAGGTTTCATTGATCTTTTGTATAGCATTTATAATTTCAATTCATTAACTTCTGTTCCCAAATTTTATCATTTCCTTCCATGAGCTTGCTTCAAATTCTTTTTTTGGTCCTTTTCTAGTTCCTTAAGCAGTGCTATAAGGTTCTCTCATGTGTTCCTGATGTGCATATTTCTTGATTATTAAGTAATGATCCACTGTCTTTTATAATTTTATTTTTACTTGAAGTTTATGTTGTCTGATAAAAGTATGGACACCCCATCCTTTGAAGGGCTGGAGCAATAGCATAGTGGTAGGGCATTTGCCTTGAGTGAAGCCAGCCTGGCCGAGCCAGGTTTGATTCCTTTACCCTTTTTGGAGAGCCCGGCAAGCTACCAAGAGTATCTCGCCCACACAGCAAAGCCTGGCAAGCTACCCATGATGTATTCGATATGCCAAACACAGTAACAACAAGTCTCAAAAAATGGGCCCACTCAAGCAAATTGACGTTACTGGGCCCACTCAAGCAAATTGACGTTACTGGGCCCACTCAAGCAAATTGATGAACAACGGGAGGACAGTGCTTGTTTTTTGTTTTTGTTGGCTTGACATACTATATTTCAATCTTTAACTTTGAGCCTGTGTTTGTACTCACTATTCAGATGTGTTATTTGTGGCAGCTGAAAGTTGATTTTGTTTTTTAGTCCATATTGCCACTCAGTCCCTTGGTTAGTACATTTGTGCCACCCTTCCTTGAGTGAGATAATTGCAACTGAGGGTTTTAGTTTTTTTGTTTTTTGTTTTTTGTTTTTTTTTCCATCTTTAAAAATATGAAATGTTTCATGAACTTTTGTGCCCCTGATGCTCCAGGGCCATGCTAATCTTCTCTGTATCTTTCCAGTTTCAGTAATATATGCTGCCAAAACAAGCACTGCTTTGCTTCCTTTAGTAAACTGTTTTAAATTTTTAGAGAAAAAATGCTTGTGAAGATATATTCAGGCAAATAGAAAATGTTATCACTGGTACAATGTGTATTTTTTGGTTTAAAAAACAAAAATGAAAATGAACAATAAATCTGCTTTTATACAGATTACAAAGTATTTGGAACAAACCAAGATGTACCTCCCATAGTCTCGGTGCTTTAAATTTTAAACATTTGTGAAAATTCCAAGTGAACTCAGAGTAAAACTGAAGAAACAGATTTTGTCTCTCTGACCTTACAATCATTGTTTGCTTCTCATTTATTATTTAAACATAGAAATATGGAGTACCATAATAGTTGGAAACTAACTGTGCCTGAAGCAAGACTGAAAGATTTTAAACTGCTGTGAATTTACTCTTGAATGAACATATATATTCTTCCAGGTAGAATGCAAAGTTTATGAAAGTATAAATAATAAAAATGCACTTATTTTATGTTTACAGTTATTTTATAATTCAATAGCAACCTCAGTTTTGTAGCAATTATTTTAGCAATTTTTGTTTCTCAGTTCCCTATGTTACCAATTTGATTACCTCTACTACTGTAGACATTTCCTCTTATACCTTTCTTGTTACCCAAGGTTTAGTATATTTTTAACCAGAAATTGTCTTTTCTTTTATAAATTACCTTTTGAAATCTCAATGTTAATTATATCTACAAAAGTAATAAATTTGCCCTAAATCCTAAATGTCTTTCTCTTATTTCTTTCAGTAAAAAAACGACTTTTCATTTCAGCCCCAATATATATTCTTTATATATTGATTCTTTTCAAGGCTCATGATGAAATCTGGCAATTTGTGTGTGTAAGTTCCTCTAAACATTCATACTGCAAACATACTATGTATTATATTGTTGAAACCATTTGTTATGTGTATTGATCACTGTATCACTGCCATCGTGTTATTCATCGATTTGCTCGAGTGGGTGCAGTGATATCTCCATTCATCCTATCCCTGAGATTTTAGCAGGCTCTCTTTACTCATCCTTCCCAATGGTGCCACATTGGAGGCTCTTTCAGGATCAAGGGAATGAGACCATTATTGTCACTGTTTTTGGCATATCGAATATGCCATGGGGAGCCTGCTAAGCTCTGCCATGCATGCAGGATACTCTCAGTAACTTGCCAGGCTCTTCAAGAGAGAGAAATTGCATCGCTCTCTTCTGGGAACTTTGTTTCCTAGTCTCTGCATCTTGCCCATTGATGGGATTACTTGGTGCCAAGGGAGTTTGTGGGTGTGGCTCACTAGATACTGGAAAATAGGGGATCGGGGTGGAGGAGGCCCAGTACCGATCCAAGCAGCCTTGGAGATCTCAGTCCCGGGTCCCACACACCTGGGTTCCTCTGCTGGTTCCTTCATGCATGAGGCTCATCCGAGTGTGTGGAGAGTAGTCTTGAGCATGGCTGTGGCTGGGTTCTGGAGGTCTTTGTCTGCCAGGGCTCTACTCTGGATGGGGAGGGAAACTCAATCCACCCCCCTCTGAGTTATTTTATTTTATTGATAATGACAAAGATGTTGCTTCCATTAACATTATAATGACCTGGAATTAAACAAGTACTTGGATGAGATAGAACCCAGATTTATCATTTAAAATCCATTTGTGATAAAGGAATAAACTTTGAACAAACATGTGAAAGATAAGCACACATAAAATCTGACAGTGATGAGAAGGTGTGCCTAAATGAAAATTAACAGGTAATGTTGAAAGCACATTTCTGAAAATGATGCCAATATAGAAGCTGATTGAAGCCAATCTGAGATATCCTTTGGGTTCAGCTTCATGCTCAGAAATTCTTATCTATACTTTGTAAATTAACATCCGCATATAAACTCAAGAAATGGCTTTGACCTCCTTGTTAAATAGAATCTACAAGAAATTCTCCATTTCCAAGTAGTGACTTGTATCTTGTGCCAGTCTTCTGGGCAGTTGCCCTTTGCTCTTCTACTACTGATGAAATTTGATGAATTCCCACTAGGAAATCTTATGCGCAACTGGCTTGAGTGGTAAGTGAGACTTCTCTACCCAGGTGGGAGTTAGCATTCTTGACATCTGAATTCCCATAAATATTACCCTATTTTATTTAATTTACTTTTGGGTTTTGGTTTTTGAGCACCGCCAATGATGCTCAGGTAGATACTCCTGGCTCTGCATTGAGAAATAACTCCTGGTGTTGCTCAGTACTGAATGGGATGCCAGGGATTAAAGCAAGGTTGGTACATGCAAGGAAAGTGCACTCCCCATTGTTTTGCTCTGGCCCCAACAATATTTTATTCTTATCTCTTCCTTTCCCCTCATTTTGCCAGCTCAGTACAGATAAAGCAATATGATTTTATAACCACTAAGGCAGATTATGTTCTCAGATTATACAGTGGGTGCTTGGGATAATTTATGTAGATACTGAAACTTACTAATGTAAGAACTAAAAAAGATTATTTTGGAGAAAATTTTACCTGTGTAATTTTAGTATTGAAATAAATATTGCTACAAATTTAAAAAAGTAATTGGCTTTAAAATGCTATCTATATTTTGTAAGCATGTATGCATACACACAAGAAATTTTCTAGCTATTTAATCTATTTCAATATGTTTAAAGTTTTATTTTTAACTAACTAAAGTTTTTTACTAACAAATAAAGTTAGGTGAAAGTTTTTGCCAATAAAATGTGTTTTAATTTTAGGCAAGAGTATTATAATAGTCATAATAACAATTATTATTATGATTATGGCTGTCCTATGTTAATCTTTTTACTGTGTATATAAGTAGTTGTACCAATTTAAAATTAATGTTACTCAGGTAACTTTAAGCATTTTATGTACATATTAAAAAGACATTTTATCACATGGCTATAGTACAGTGGTAGGGCATTTGCCTTGCGTGCAGCCAGTCCGGCTGAGCTGGGTTCGATTCCTCGGCTCCTCTTGGAGAGTTTGGCAAGCTACTGAGATTATTCAATATGCCAAACACAGTAACAAGAAGTCTCACAATGGAGACGTTACTGGGCCTGCTCGAGCAAATTGATGAACAATGGGAGTACAGTCATGCAGACAGTCATCATAAAAACATGTACAAACTTTATATCAAAAGTGCACAATATATAAATATATATACATATTTATATTTATATATTGGATTGAGACCACACTTGTCATATTCCCGGCTCAGGGAACAATATGAGGTGCTAGAGATTGTACTTGGGTTGGCTGGATGCAAGGCAAGTACCCTGCTCTGATCAATCATTCCAGCTCATTAGATGTATTTTGAACATGGAACTCTAATTGGAATCTCAAAAGGTCTACTTTACAATCAATTGACCTATACTCTTTTTCTGAAATGTATATTTATCTTGAGAATTAGGAAGAACTAGGAAGTAAATTAACCCTTGGGTTATACTGACATTTTAAGTAACTGCATGATTTTAGTACACCCCCAAAGTATTCTTTTATGTTAAGAATATGAACAAAGAAACTACTTATCAGTAAGTACATACATTTTTTTTTGTGGGAACTTTTTTTTCCCCTTTATTTTATTTATTTATTTTTTACAGTTGTAGATTTACAATTTTTTGTGCTTGGGTTTCAATTATACAATGATCAGATACCCATCCCTCCACCAGTGCCCGTTTTTCACCACCATGGATAATATCCCTCCCACCCCCATCCCCCCTTCCCCCCCTGTCTCTGTGGCAGGGCAATCCCCTGTGTTCTCTCTCTCCGTTTGGGTGTTGTGGTCTGCAAAAGAGGCATTGAGTGGCAAACATGTTCAGTCCATAGTCTACTTTCGACATGCATCTCCCCTCCTGGGAGGATCCTCCAAACATCCTTTATTTGGTGCTCCCTTCTCTATCTGAACTGCCCTTTCCTCTAGGATACCCGGCTGACCTCTAAGTTATGGAGTAATCATCCTGGTGCTGATCTCAGCTATTCTTGGGTATTAATCTCATACTTTGTTACTTTATATCCCCCAGATGAATGCAATCTTTCTATGTCTATTTTAAATAATACCATCAACCCACTGAATATAATTGTCATCTATTGCCATAATAGACTTTTTTTTATGCAATTCACATAGAATTCTCTCCAAGGTTCAGCACACTAAAGGACTAAAGCATACTTAAGCAAATCATAATAATTATCAAAATATATTAAATACATTAAATAGATTAAAACAATCACGATCACGACCATCCTGTTATTCCTCGATTGCCTCGAGCAGGCCCCAGTAACGTCTCCTTCATCCTAGCCCTGAGATTTTTAAAAAAGTGCCATATTCAAAGTCAAAGTGAAGATTAAAACAATAGATACATAAAATGTTTCTCAGAGCTTCCCTCTTAGAGAACACGTTTGATTAATTCTGTGAGATTGGTATTCTTCCAATATCAAAACCAGACAATGATACTTCAAGAAAAGAAAAAAAGAACTAAGATCTGCTTTGTCTATATGTGCAAAAAAATCTTCAAAATATATCCTAAGCATCACCAGAGAAGTTTCTCAATTCCAGTAATGACAAAGTGATTTTCCTATATCATTGAATGTAAAAATTTACAAAAGAAATTATACTTTATAACTAAATCAACTATATATTACAGGTATATTTCAGCATACAAAATATTATAAAAATTAATAATAATTAAATACATGTGATTTATTTCATGTGCATCGATATAAAAGTATAAGTACCTTGAAGATTTTTGTACTAACTAACCTAATCTTTAGGCCAGAATCTTAGTGAATTATTTGTGGATATTAGTAAATCAACTTTGAAGACTATATGGAAAACAAAAGAAAAAAAAGAAGAATATATAATGCAGTGTTGAATAAAACAGATATTTACAGTACTAATATTACAGACTATTAATATTCACTATAAACATAGGGTGGCAAGACTTTGATTTTAGCAAAAGAATAAAATAAATAGATGGAATAAAGTGAAACTATGAATAAACCAATACAA